CTCCTCCTCCTCCTCCTCCTCCTCCTCCTCCTTCTCCTCCTCCTCCTTCTCCTCCTCCTTCTCCTCCTCCTCCTTCTCCTCCTCCTTCTTCTCCTTCTTCTCCTTCTTTTTATTTATTTTTTATTACAGTTTATTCACTTTGTATCCCGGCTGTAGCCCCCTCCCTCGTCTCCTCCCAGTCCACCCTCCCTCTTCTGCCCTTAAGTAGAGGTCCAATGGGCTATCGGCTGCACCACAGAGCCAGGCTTGTTACTGTTTTTGGTCCTCTAGTGGGGGAAAAACGTATGAGGAGACACTAAGGAATATCTATCTAGGTGTCAACTGGGTTCTGAAGCTCTTATGATAAAATATCTGAGGCTGTAGAGTTTTATTTCATGATAAATAATATTTCTGGGCTTTCATTTGTTTTGGGACAGGGCCTCTCTATGTAACCACTGCGAGGCTCACTATGTAGACCAGGCTAGCCTTACATTCATACAATCTATGTCTGCTTCCCTCTTGAGGGCTGGGATGAAAGGCATATGTCATCACATTCTGCTAATACTAAATAATGCTACCATAGCCCAATAGAATTAATAGGAATGCCCAATTCATAGTTTTAATTTACTTCTTAGAAATTCTAGTTCAATATGTAGGTTGTTATACTTAATAACCAAGAAATGTGGATACTATACGCATTAACAGCTTCATTAGGTCTTCCTAAATACACACACAAGTCATTCCTGCAAATACTCTCCTGTAACTGCTAGGAGAGTAGCAAATGATTCTCTGAAACTGAATACATACTCTCACTGCCAAAATTACTATTCCCTAAAAGGGTTTCTATTACAACAGAAATATCTATATTGACTTAAAAGAGGAAATGACTCCTACTGACCCATTCTTTATTCTTAAACTAAAGGCTTTGGAGATGGCTTACATATATAATGTATTACATACTTGGGGAAACAGAATTGATCAGGATGAGGCTGAGACACTGAGTTCACGCTCATCCTTTTCCTTTTAGGAGGGACTGCTATACTGAGGTTGTTTCTTTCCCAGTAAAGAAAGAGCACGAGTGGCTCAGGAAGCATCCCCTCTAAGCTCCACTGTCTTTAGGAGACTGTGGATTGCACCTCCATCATTTTTTATGTCTGTTTTCTCGAGAGAACATATTTATGAGCATTTCATAAATCATCACGAATGAGAGAACAAAGGAAAGGCATCTGACCTCATCTCCTTTGACACTGCCGACCAAGGGTCTGTGCATCCCAGGAACACACTTTCATCACGCTTACCCCAGAGAACAGCTTGATCATAGAGACGGCTTCCAAGCAGAAAAAAATTAGAGGAAAAAGAAGCCGTACGTACCCTTCCACCAGAATAGTCATAAAGTTGTTCTAGTGCAGAAACCTAATTTTATTAGTTTGGAGTCAGACGGTATAACCTGCCATTACGCATACAATATCTCATTGTTGTTTTTAGTTACCACCTAAGTTGGAACAACATAATCTAAAGGAGTTTTTTATCATTATTTTTATTTTCTTAATCCACAGAATGTCAGTACTGGGGCTCAGAGCTCCAGCTGCCAACTCTGAATTTTGAAGACGTGTTAAAAGATGATGAGCATGCATACAAATGGCTCTCCAACCTCAAGAAAGTAGGCATTGTGAGACTCATTGGAGCAGCTGACAGACGCGGGGAGATCACAAAACTTGGGAAAAGAATTGGCTTCCTGTACCTCACATTTTATGGGTGAGTTGTCAGATGGTTTGGCTTTTACCATCACAAATATAGTTGTATCTATTTCCAAGAGGGAGTAGGCTTTGATTGCAAGATAAATGTAATTATTCTTGTGCTTATATTTTAAAGAGGATTAGAAGTGAAAGAGACCTTCACAAGCCAAAGTGTATACACTGGTAGCACACAGACATATTTAGATGTGTTTGGTTTGGCACATAAGGTGTTGAAAGAAAACAGAATTAGTTGTCAACACTTTAAGACTCAGAGGCTTGAAATTTATGTGGACTTATCTTTTCTTGAAAAACTAGATCTAGAAACACTAAGCCTAAATCTAGCATGCCAGCAATCTACTGAGCATAAGCAGGCTGCACCTTGAATCATTTGATGACGTCTTCTACCTCCTCAGAGCAGTTAGGCTGTGATATTATAGGAGTATGTTGTCCCTAACACACAGTAAGATGTTCAAATGATCAGGAGCATTCGATAATCCATCATTTGTATGAGTTTAATCATAGCAAAAGACTATGTCATGTTTGGTAATGGACAACATATTCCTGACCATTAGCATATAGATTGACTTACACTATTATATGTTTTCTTTATATAAAATGTATATCATCCTTTCATCTGCAAGAATTAATGGTTCCATGGAAATTGCAATAAGAATAGATAAATGAATGGGGAAAATATTTTAAATTATTAAGAGCCTCAAGTATATATTTTGTATTTCCTTTAAAGTCTCTAAAATTTAGGTTATTCTCCAGTTTATAAGAGACAATATCAAGCTCAAAGAATCAACTTATATTCCAAATTTTCATGAGTAATAATAAAAAAGGCAAAGTATAAATCTAGGTTGCCTCTCCATGATCTAACTCTATTTCACTGTTAATAACATGAAAATACATGAGAAAGTACTTCTGAGACTGAACCAAACAGAACACCTCAAAATAAATTTCTTGTAAGTTTTGCTTATTTTTCATTTATGTATAATAAGCATTTGAGTCTATCCTAATGCACTTCAGTTTTGTGCACTTTTTGGAGCCTCCTAGCTCCACCCAAACCACTCACCCATCTGACTGGGGGTCAGAATCTTAATTCTGATTTTGGGTTTTACATCTGTTTTGCTTTGTTTCTACAAGTCCTATAATACGGTTTAATAATTTGGCCACTGATCTAATACTGTGAAATTTTTTGAATACATAGTTAAGGCCCATTGTCAAAACAAATCAGACCTGTTCTTCCTCCTGATTCCATTTACCCAAAACCTACACAACCAGCCAGAGTGATTGATCCTCTCCCACCACTCCTTGCTCAGATAATCAAGCCTTCCCAGGATACCTCACATGGCACACACGGCAATGTATCTATTTCTTGCCACCTCACAACAACTGTCCCCACATGTTATCAGAGTTCTCTCCACATTTTCTGCATTTTTGATTCTCTAAGCTCAATAACCAGCAGAGGGTTTTGTTGTCATGCTGGTTTGATTTTGCTTGCCTATTTCAGACTTGGGCTATTACTGCTGGTGTTAAGAGAGTGGGATAAACTGAACATAAACTGAACACTTGCTTTAGTTATCTTCTTCTTTTCTCCTCTTCTCGGTAATGTGGGAAAGAGATACTGAAGTAACATGAGACTTAAAAAAATATCCATGGATTTTCATTAGCATTCTAAGGAGTACCTAAAATAGTATATATCAGGCAACATATACTATTTTGGGTGCTCCATTTTAAAACTACAAACATCTGGGTCCTATCTGCAAAGATTTTCTTCATCACGAGTGACATTTGACCTCTGCATCGGGACTTTAAAATTTCAGCAGAGGATTCCCATGTGTAAAAAAAAAAAAAAAAAAAAAAAAGAGAACTGGAGAAGATGTGGAGTAAAAGGCACCCTCCTCCATTACTGGTGGGAGTGCAAACTGTACAACCACTTTGGAAATCAATCTGGCACTTTCTCAGAAAATTGGGAAGAGATCTACCTCAAGATCCAGCTATACCACTACTGGGCATAATAGACCCAAAAGATGCCCCATAATTCAATAAAAACATTTGCTCAACTATGTTCAAAGCAGCTTTGTTTGTAATAGCCAGAATCTGGAAACAACCTAGATGTCCCTCAATAGAGTAATGGATACAGAAATTGTGATACATCTACACAATGGAATACTACCCAGCTATTTAAAACAAGGAAATATGAAATTTGCAAGCAAATGGATGGAACTAGAAAAGATTATCATGAGTGAGGTAACCAGAAACTGAAAGACAGGCATGGTATACACTCACTTATAAGTGGATATTAGCCGTATAATACAGGATAGCCATCTACAGACCAAAAGAAGCTAAACACTAAGGAGGACCCTAAGGAGGGTGCTTAAATCTCATTCAGAATGGTGAACAGGGTAGACACCAGAATTGGTGGAAGAGAGGAAACAGGATGGGAGCCTACTATGGAGGGTCTTCTGAAAGGCTCCACCCAACAGGGGATCAAAGCAGATGCTGAGACTCAAAGCCAAACTTTGGGCAGAGTGCAGGGAGAATTATGGAAGAAGTGGAATAGGGAGAGGGGGATAGAAGGACATGGAGGAAACAGGAACCCCACAAGGAAACCAACAAAGCTAAAATATCTGAGCCCTGAGGGTCCTACAGAGACTGATTTACCAACCAAGGACCATGCATGGAGAGGACCTAGACCCCCTGCTCAGATGTAGCCTATTGACAGCTCAGTCTCCATGTGGATCTCCAAGGAATGGGAGAAGGGGCTGCCTCTGTCATGAACTCAGTTGCCTGCTCTCTGATCACTCGCCCCTGATGATGCAGCTTTACCAGGCCACAGAGGAAGAGGATCCAGGCAGTCCTGATGAGACTTGATAAACTATGGTCAGGTGACAAAGGAGGAGAACTCCCCCTTTCAGTGAACTAGAGGAAGGGAATGAGGGGAAGAGAAAGGGAGGGTAGGACTGGGGGGAGTTGAGGGACGGAGCTTCAATCGGCATACATAATGAAAAAATGTGAAAAAAATAAATTAAAATTAAGATAAATTTGAGACCTTCTGGTTGAGAGGAAGGAACCGTTCTAGACATATACATCTCCACAGCAGAAGGACTTTGAGTACTGTTCAGCCTCTGAACTCTCCCAGCTCTCTCTCACAAAAGTCCCTTATTATACTCTTAGGAAACAAATATCCATCTGTTCTTTTCCATTTAAAAATACTCGCCTGAAGAATTTTAAATACTTGAGAGACAAGAGTATTTATTTTTAGTTCTTGGCCAGCAGCTCAATGATTGATTTATAAAATTAAAAAACAATAGATTCCAGATTTTCATGCATTCTTCATATACAGTAGGCTGAGATTAATGCTTAATGAACAAATGATTCCATGATGTTTATAAACATTATTTTTTTCTTTAATGTACAAGTGCTCTGTCTGCAAGTATACCTGCATGCCAGAAGAGAGCTTCAGATCACTTTATAGATGGTCCTGAGCCACCATGTGGTTGTTGGGAATTGAACTCAGGACCTCTGGAAGAGCAGCCAGTGCTCTTAACTGCTGAGCTATCACAATAGCCTGCCAAGATGTTTTTAAAAGGTTATAAAATAGCAGTTGAATTAACAAATATTGTAACCTTTTATTGTTATTAATCTTTTTTGTATTTTTAAATTTTTTTTATTAATTACAGTTTATTCACTTTGTATCTCAGCTGTAGCTCCCCCTCCCTTGTCCCTTCCCAATTCCACACTTTCTCCCTCATCTCCTCCCATTCCCCACCCCAAGCCCACTGAAAGGGGCAGTTCTCCACTCCTTCCCTCTGACCCTAGCCTATCAAGTCTCACCAGGACTGGCTGCATTATCTTTGAAGACAAAGTACACTTCAGTGTTCACATCTGCATTTTCTCAGATGTCATTCTTGTCATTATTCTGCCAGCCCATCTGCCAGGACATCTTCTAGACAATATTGTTTCATGCAACCATGTGCAACACTCAACATTATCAATGCCCCAGTGATGAAAGCTTCCCTGGAACAAGGACTACAAGCTGGTAAACAAACTTTCACTGTTAGTTTTGCCAGTTACAAAAGGGTATGGAGAGAAGAATGTAAAAAGAAAGTAATATTTCAGGATTTAAATCTTGATTTAGAATAATGCATTTTATAGAGAATGGAGACAAAGACTCTCACTCCTGCCATATCAACAAAAATAAAACACTTAACTTTCAGAAGCTCTTTGGGGATATGTGAAAAATTATTATTGAAGAAATCATTTTAACTTCATGAAATAATTCAACTCAGTCATTCTGAGTTACCTTTCATTAAGCGGTGTCATTTTCCATGAGTACAAATTAGAGTAAATCATAAAGAAACAATTGCTGTAAATGAAACAGAATGTCACCCTTGAATATCAATGTGTGTAAGGAATTATGTAGGCATTTTGTTCCAAACTGGGCTTGAGTTTTTATCTTATAGAAAGTGATTATCTAAACAAATAAAAATTCCACAAAACACCAAAAGAGCAGATTTCAAAGAAGCCAGGGACATTTGACATTGCTGACACATGCCAAAAGAAGTTTGAAGGGGATGAATGCTCCTTCAACACACAGCAGATTAGAATCAAAATGGCATAGTATCTAACTAAGATGGCCTCTGAAAAAGCTAGCTCAACAGTTAAAAACCTATACTGTCCTTGAACACGACCAGAACATGTTTCCTGTCACCTATGTTGTTGAGCTGCTCACAACTGTCTGTAATTCCAGCTCCAGGACCTTCAACAGCCACTATGGGCTCTACAAGCATCTCTACTCATGTGCACAAACCCACACTCAGACACACAAATATGAATAATTTTATTTATGCTGCCATATGTAAGTGTGTGTGACATCATAAATACCTATTTAATTGACCGTGCTATGTTCTGTGGCATCCCTCCTTCACCCTTAGGCTAATCCAACTCAGACACACACCATTCCACCTCATGCCTGTCATGGACTAGTAGAACTGAGACATCTGTATCTCATTA